AGCATACGGGGGTTGATGAAATTTCTGGTCCAGCGGGGTAGTGCTGTGTCGGAAACTCATATGTTAGCAACATAACAATAAATAGCATGCTATATAACATGTTAATAACATTTTTAGCCCGGTGCCCTCTGAGAAGGCCTGCAATTTATTTGTCCAACCATGAAGCACCGGAAACGACCTGGATGCGCATTGCGGATATCAGTGTACTCTAGTGATGTTTTAGCGTGCGAATGATGTCTCCGCACTGAATCGGCATGTTGATTTTAGGCGCGTGCGGCGTTCTCGGCGCTCTTAAGTGTACCGCTCGGTGTAGTCGGGGATGCAGGAAGTGAATGGCAAGAAAAGAAATCCGGACGTTCCATCGCAGTACTTACAAAGTGTCCTGCTCGGTTTAATCGGGGAATTAGGACCCGCCCATTGAACATAGAGAGGGCGGCCGTCCATTTTTTTTCGTTGTGGAGGTCAGGAGATCAATATATATACATTCATGAAGTCGGGGACGGTCTCAACACAACATCAAGGTAGTATGTGAATACATAAAATTTCAGAACATGGGTAGCCGGAAATCACTATGACGTGGACTGCGACGGCGCAGAGAGACGCTGTGCAACTTGCGCAGCTGAGCTTCTCTCAGAATCTGGTGCCAAAGATACGTTAGCGCCAGCGGCGGCACACTTGAAACAATAAACACCTCAATTTCCGTCTCGAGCCGTTTTGCCTCACGAATGTATCTAAGCACGGTAAACGTGCGGCCTTTGAAGAATTCCCCAAGCGCAACGCGAAAGGACTGGGAATTGGACAGGGTGTCTTCTCGGATTTTTGAGACCTTGAGCTGGAGACTGCTCAAGAGTTAGAGCGTACAAGGGCAAAGAACTCAACGCGCACCTGTTCAGCCTCTGCGTGTGAAGTCCTGACATCAGTACACCGGCCTCGATGGCGGCGAAGTACGTGTGTTCGGTGGCGGCGAGGGCAGAGACCAAGATATCTGTAAGCCGTGTGGGGGACGCGGCGCGGAGGGCGCATGCGACAAATGTGACGATGCACACTGCGAGCACAAATTTTCCGGTGGGCTCTGGCAGAGTCGACATAAAAAGAGAAAGAGATGTTTCGCCGACAGTGGACATGAGGATGAAGAGTGGGTCGATTCCTATGCGAGCCCCCACTCATTTATACCTTTCGAAAGCTGTTGGTGTGAACGTATCATGGATAAAGAATGTGCTCAGGCGCTTACATTCACTCGGTTTTAGAACCATCGAACGCACCGATCACGGCGGTGGATGAGGCGGCCCCCGGAAACTTTTAGGTCTGTAACCCCCAATTTCAGGCTGATTTACTCTACGAAATCCGCCATTTGCAGGTTGTCTTACTCTATTTCAGACCAGCCTCGGAGGTGTAAATATATATGCATATTTCCTTTGTCGTGTTTTTACAGAGCAGGTATGTTATACTGAGAGTGTTCGGGGGGCTGGTGGAAATGTGGGAAATTCTGATGCTAGATGCGGAGGCTGATGTGATGGGTGGAAAGAATGTACTTTGAGAAAGGATGAATGTAGATCTTGCAAATAACGCCTTCCAGCCGCTGCTGGAGCGGCTGGCGGCGGTGCGCCCAATTTGGCATATGACAGCCTGGTCCATCCTCCCGTACGTACGTACGTGTCTATGAGTATGACATCAGACACACGTCGAAAGAACAACATTAGCAAAAATGGATAGTTTGAAGAGTCAAGACCGCGACCACAGGGCTGAGTTCCCCGACAAATGTGGCTATGTATCAGCTCGCGATGAACCTGAACCGAGGGCCTAAAAATACACCCTCAATTCTACAGACCACTCGTCTTGAATCGCATTGGCTCGACCTCTACAAAATCGCAGTCCGTGGCTTATCCACCCGGATTCAGAGTCGTTTGAAAACAACTGAACGTAAGTGTCCATCTTTTCGAGTAAACTTGAACTGCTCGTTCTGGTTCCGATCTAGTTCAACGGATTTCCCACCTGGAACTGAACGTCAACCCCCGCCCAACTGCAAATCCAATTGCAACCGTGGTATAATCGCATCCCATTCCATCCATATACAAAACACAAAAACGAACACAGAACACAGGCAGAAACACGAAATAAAGAAAAATAGATGTACCAATAAGTAACTTCCCTCCACCTGCGCCCTTGCATAAATTATACGAGATTACCCCTTCCCCCGTCCCCATCTCAACAACACTTCCCCTCCATCCCCCCACCACCGCCCCCGCCGCCCCCGCCCCCAACACTAACCCTCAACCTTTCCTCCGCGCCCCCCCTCCCCCCTCCTCCTCCCCGCCCTCCTTTGCCTCCCTTACTCCAACCACCCTTCCCGCCCCCCCAACTCCCCCACCCACCCCCACCCCCACTCGCACCCCTTATGCTCCCCCCCGCCTCAGAATACCCCATCTCCCTCTCCCGCCTCTCCTCCTCCTCCCTTTCCCTCAGAACGCGGAGCACAAGCCGCCGTGCAACCCACGCAAACACGTCCGCGACGCCCTCCCCCGTGCGCGCGGAGGCGCGGAAGTGCGCGGCGCCCGCGCCGGAGGAGGACGGGAGGTCGGGCTCTAAGAGCCATTGGGCGGAGATTAGTTGCGCGGCGGTGGAGCCAGAGGTAGAGGTAGAGGTAGCGCCGTTGGGAGCGGCGGTGTGTGAGGCGGACGGGGTGGGAGCTGAAGTTGACGTTGAAGTGGAGGACGCCACGGCCAGCGACGCCGCCGCACCCAACGACGCGAACGACGCCGCCCCGGCGGGGAGGTGCTGCGGGTACGGCAGCGGGCTGAGCGCCGCGCTCGACGGGACCTCGTGCGCGCGTGCCCCGGTGCCGGTGCCGTTGGCGTTCGTAAAGGAAGTAGTAGTAGTGGAACTAGAATTATTGAAGGAGGTAGAGGAAGCGAAGGAGGCGTTGGTGAGGATCGGCGCGAGCGGGGGCGCGGGGGCCTTTGCTTTGTCTTTGATGCCCTTTAGAGTCGCGTTCCCGTTGGGCTTCCGGGGCGAGGGCGAAGGTGACGATGCGCCCGAGTCCGTGTCGGCGTCCGCATCGCTGGAATGCAAGCTCTCGCGCGAGGCGGAAGCCGACGAAAAGCGCGCCCGCGCAGGCGTGATCGTCACCTCGGACGGCGAGCGCGTCGTCGTCGTGTGCCCATTCCCATTGACACGCGTGGGGGACTCGTACGACCCGCCCAACGCGTACTCGGACGCCTCCGACTCCCCCCGCTCCCGATCCCGCTCCCGCACGCTCCCACCATACTCACTGCCCCCGACACTCTCGCGCGCATCGTGCCAGTACTCGCTCGCGCCGTCGCTGAAGACGCTGGAGGAGGGCGTGTGGTACACCGTGAGGGTGCTCGTGGCGAGCGAGGCGTGCGAGGCGCGCGTGCCGTGCGGGTGCGGGCGCGTGCGGGAGGAGGCGCGCGAGGTGGTGGGGTTGGTGAAGGGGGAGAAGGAGAGCTGGGAGGTGGATTTGCGGTGCCCGTTCGTGGTGGGGGACGCGGGCGCGGGGCGGAGGATTGATATCGGGTCCGCGGGGGTGGAGGCGGAGGGGGGCCGCGCGGTGAGCTGCGAGGAGGCGAGGGCGTCGTCTGCGTCTTCGTCCTCGTCCTCATTCTCGTGAGTCGGGGTCGCTGTGGATAGGCTAAGCGAAGATGGCCCGGGCGTCGGGGGCGGTGTATCCGGGCGCGGGATAAGCGCGCGGACGAAGCGCGCGCCTTGCGCGGCGGAGACGACGCCTTCTGCTTCCGTTACTCCTATACCTCCTCCTTCCACACTAGCGCCCACACCCGCACCTTCCAGCAAATCCACCTTATTCCCCACCACCGCGACACAAAATCCCGGCAGCTCCCCCTCCTCCACGGGCGCCTTCTCGCGGAACTCGGCCCACCACTTGCTCAGCGCGTGCAGCGTCTCGGGGCGTGTGACGTCGTACAGAAGCACAGCCGCGTCCGCACCGCGGAAGAACGCGCTCGCGAGGGAGGAGAAGCGTTCTTGGCCTGCTGTGTCCCAGATCTGCAGCGTCACCGGCTCCGCGGGATCGACGCCATTGGGAGAGGGGAAGGGCGAGGGGAGGGTCTTGGTGATGAAGTCGGCGCCGATGGTTGCGCGGTAGGAGGTCGAGAAACGGGAGGAGATGTACTTTTGAAATGTAAGTGAATAGGGATGAAGCCACACGGAAGAGACGCACCTGGCCGCGGATACTGGTCTTTCCGACGCCCGAGGCGCCGATTACGACGACTTTGAAGGTGGGCATGAGAATGGAGGAGCGGAGCGAGGACAGGGACAGCACACAGATGTCCCTGGGCGCATCAAGAGAGAGAGAACAGTCACCCGTCACATCGGAGCCTGTTGCCAAGCATGCCACGCAAGCGCCTCTTGCCTCTTGCCCCCATCTCAGCGACACTTGCACTCATTCCCGCTGGCTCTCCCTCCTGTACGCATCGGTGGTGTAAGAACATGCGTCGACTTCTTGAGTTGACTTCAGCGGAGGATTGTTGTGACGAGCTCGGGGTTCGACAGGACCGGTGATTATGCCTTTCGAGGTAGGATACTGAAAATCGCCTGTTTGGAGCTTTTGTCCGGACTAATTTTATTTTCCCACGCTTTTTGAGACTGCAGAAATCAATTTTTCGGTGAAGCGGTCACTTTGGTGTTTTTTTGGTCGAGAATTTTCCGAAATCTTGTCCGGATTCCGGTATCCTACCTCGAAAGGCATAATCACCGGTCCTGGTTCGACTCCCCGTTGATGCATGAGTTCTGGGTAATCAACATTGTAAATTTTTGCTTTAGGTTCCAACTCCCCGCCTCTCGTTGAAATAATATAACTCCTTGGTTTTTAGAGAAGGCACGTTTTGTTCCCTAAATTCTAATTCAAACTGGGACCAACACCTTCAGCTCTCTTCTTGCGGATCTCGCCTCACCCACGTATCTCCGAACACATCCTGCGCTGCCTCGCTCGTATCTCCTATCTACCCTCTATTCTCCAACGCTGCGCATCGGTGGTGTACGGAAACACACGTCAATGTCTTGCGTAGATCGACGAGGTATTTATACTATGACGAGTCCGGGGTTCGACTCCCCGTCGATGCATACGAGAGAGAAGCGATTTTTACTTCACTGCTACACTCGTACCTGATATCTCCCCGCTCTTCTCTAGCCCTGCGCATCGGTGGTGTACGGATACACACGTCAATGTCTTCCATGAGAGGTGGGATACTTATACTATGGCGAGCCGGGGTTCTACTCCCCGCCGATGCATTTACACTATCTCCGTCTTTTTCTCTCTCCGTTGGCGCAATCATCTTATCCCTCCGGTCATCCCAACGATAATAATAATCTTAAATCCTCACTGAATATGTTTTCGACAGTGGGCTTTATCGCTCTACATACGCTGGACTGACTGCTTCGTTCGGTGAAGTACAGCTGGACGCCGGATATTGCACTCCGTCGATCTTTCTGTGTGCATCAGTGGTGTACGGACACGCGTCGACTGCTTTCTTCAACTTTACATAGGGATGGCTTTGACGAGTGCGGGGTTCGACTCCCCGCCCATGCATAATCAGCTCCTCTAATTTTTCTCTGTCGCCCCACCGCTCTTCGTCTTCCTGTATTTCAGGCCCAAGAGCGAATTTCCACCGTCGAATCCTGTTCAATTCGTTTTGCGAATCAGGACTTCCCGCTCCCCGCGCCGCGGCCGAATCCCGATCTTTTTGACAGTGATCTCCTGCGAAGGGGACCTTCTGAATCTGTGCGCATCGGTGGTGTACGGACACGCGTCATCTCCTTTGCGTTTCAAAGCAGATGTTGTGACGAGTTCGGGGTTCGACTCCCCGCCGATGCATTCGTACTATCTCCATCTTTTACTCTCTCCGTTGACGCAATCTTCGTATCCCTCCGGTCAATCAAATTAATTTCAAATACTCACCGAGCCCGTTTTTGAGTAGCGGGCTTGGTCGCTCAACATGCGCTGGACTCACTGCTTCGTTTGGCGGAGTGCTGCCGTTTGTCGGATATTGCGCTCCGTTGAGCTTTCTATGCGCATCTGGTGTACGGACACGCGTCGACTGCTTTCTTCAACTTTACATGGGGATGGCTGTGACGAGTTCGGGGTTCGACTCCCCGCCCATGCATAATCAGCTCTTCTAATTTTTGAATTTTTTTTCTCTAGATTTGGTGGCGCCGCGCGCTTTCTCTTGCTGCTTTGCTTTTCAGGCTGTCCCAAACTCCCAAGAACCAATATTTTCACCGTGTTTTCGTTTTGCGAATCAGGTATTTCTATTCCCCGCGCCGTGGCCGACCCGATATTTTTGACAGTGGATGAATCCAGATCTCCTGCGAAGGGGACCCTCTGAATCTGTGCGCATCGGTAGTGTACGGACACGCGTCAACTCCTTCATTTTCAAAAGCGAATGTTGTGACGAACCCGGGGTTCGACTCCCCGTCGATGCATAAAATGGTGTTGATGCCCGTATTTTTTTTTGCTCAACGTTGCAACGTCCCGCTGTCCGTATCGTATCTCACCGGCAGGCTAACGCTCCTCCTGTCCACTCTCGCTGAGGTATTCCGTCCCGTTTCTCGAAACGAACAGCTCGGTTTTTCCCGAAATTTCCAACTCAGGCTCAAACTGGGACCGGCGCCTTCAGCTCCCTTCTCGCCCGCCACATATATCGGAACAAATCCTGCGCTGCCTCGCTCGTATCTCCTCTCTCCTCTTTCTTCGCTAGCCCTGCGCATCGGTGGTGTACAGACACACATCAATGTCTTGCATATATCGCCAGATATTTATACTATGGCGAGCCCGGGGTTCGACTCCCTGTCGATGCATGTGAGAGAGAAGCGATTTTTTCCCTCTCCGTTGGCCTTCTACCTTCCTTCGACTCCCTCGCAAAACTCGCCTCACCCACGTATCTCGGAACACATCCTTCACTGCTACACTCGTACCTGATATCTTCCCGCTCTTCACTAGCCCTGCGCATCGGTGGTGTACGGCTACACACGTCAATGTCTTACCTGAGCGAGCTATTACGGATATGACGAGTCCGGGGTTCGACTCCCCGTCGATCATGTTTGATGACCGAAAAAACAGTTTTTCCTCTCCGCTGGCCCGGGCACCATCTTCTTATTCCGCAGGTCATCCTGGGCAATAAGAATGATCTCAAATACTCACGGAATTTGTTTATGAGTAGCGTGATTGGTGCTTCCACTCGTCGCTCTATATACGCCTCAACCACGCATCTCGGAACACGTCCTGCGCTACCTCGCTCGTACTATCTTCTCTTTCGTTTCTCTTCGTTAGTCCTGCGCATCGGTGGTGTACGGACACACACGTCAATGTCTTGCGTAAAACTTGAGATGTCGCACTATTGACGAGCCCGGGGTTCGACTCCCCGTCGATGCATGGATGAAGGCAATTTGCTCTGATATTTTTCCCTCGATTTTGGCCACCACTCCATTCCTTTTATTTTCCCCGACTCCCGCTCTCGTCGCCCGATATCTCAACGATAACATTTCTTGAATCCTGACTCCTGACTTCGGGTTCAATGCACTAATCTGTTAGTGCTCCTCGCGCCGGCCTGGTTTTGGTACACACACCTTCGACCGGATGAGGTCACATAGCCTGCCCTACAGATCTTTCTATGCGTATCGGTGGTGTACGGACACGCGTTGACTCCTTCAGTCGGCTGACCACAATTAGTAGCGACGAGATCGGGGTTCGACTCCCCGTCGATGCACTGGTAGTTCGTCAAGGTATTTTTATTTTATTTCTTGCGACCGACCTGATTCATCCAGCCCTATCCTTCACCTCAGCACGTTTCTGTGGGCCCCTGCGGATTGGACTCCATGCGGATGTCACCTGAAGAGTCAGAAGACACTCGGGCTCCCTTGCGCCGGCACTCATTGCGTTGCTTACACATGGGATGGAATCCTAACCGCACTGATCTCAAATCTTGTTTCACCTACTACGAGGGCTACTGGAAGGTTCCGTTGCGCCGGTCGTGTACGAACACGTCCACCACTTCGGTCCGAGGCTGGACGAATGTCGTGACGAGTTCGGGGTTCGACTCCCCGTCGATGCATTATCAAGCTTTGTCCAAGTTTTTTGGCCTCCATTCAAAACCAACACCCCCATCTCCACACATTTTTCTGTTCAACCTGGCAGGTTTCCTTGTTTATGTCAACTCGAAATGCTCTCCCCATTGACAATTCGAGCTGATTTTTCCTGCTGCACAAACTGAGCCCAATTCTCCCCCCGCATCCCAGATACCATCTGGGAGGGGCGGCGCGGAGGAGAGGTTGAGGGTCAGTGTTGGGGGTGGCGGTGGCGGTGGCGGTAGTGGGGCGGAGGGGAAGTGTTGTTAGCGGCGTTCCACGGGTAATCTAATCTAATTTATCGGGCGAAGGAAGGAAGGAAAGGTGGAGAGGAGAAGTTACTTATTACGTGCATAGGTCGAGGTCGTTGATACATCAACGATCGACTCGAGCGGACTTGACAATGTGTACCAGGTTCATAAATAGCCACTTGCGCGGGACACATAGCCATATTTTCCCGGAAACTCAGCCCTGTGGCCGCGGTTTTGACTCTTCAAACTATCCATTTTTGCTAATGTTGTTATTTCGATGTGTGCCAGTGTCTGATGTCATAGACACGTATGTACGGGAGGATGGACCAGTTGAAACCAGGCTGTCATTGGGCGCACTGCCGCCAGTAGCTCGCAGCTGCTGAAGCCTCTATTTGCAAGATCCAATCCCTGAGTCTTCTTTCCACACCCATCACGATGCACGTCATCAGTCGATCTGCGTTCGCGTCCAAATGGATATCTTTACAGCCCAATGGATTCAGGATTTCCCACATTTCCACCAGGCCCCCGGATGTAGGTTGGTCTGGTGTAAAGTAAGTCGGACCCCGATATGACCCCTACCTCAGGCTGTGGCCGCATCATAGAGTAAATTAGCTCTCAGATGAGCGAGGTCGGTTTCCCGTGGAGTAAATTGTGTGGAGTAAAATATTTTTTTGGCATACGTACTATTACGTATACGGTGAGCCCGGAGTAGAGTAAAGCAGAACCCAGATATGACCCCCGCCTCACAGAGTAAATTAGCGCTCAAATGAGCAAAGTCGGCCTGCGGCAGAGGTAAATCGCGCGGAGCATGATTTTTTTTTTTTGGCATACGTACTAGTACGGTGAGCCCCATTGGTCCAGATTTCTGGGTGTAAATGGGCCGTAGTGCAAAGCACCGTAAAAATGCGACAAAGAATATTTATACCCCAAAGGTTGGTCCGCCATAGAGTAAAACAATCTGCGAAGGGAGGATTTCCTAGAGTAGCTCAGCTCGATATTAAAAAAACCCACCGACCGATAAGGCAGTGTCCGGGGGACCTCATCCACCACCTCGCGCCGAACATCCGAATGAATGAAAGCGCTTGAACACATTCTTTATACCAACAGCTTTCGAAAAGGTATAAATGAGTGGGGGCTCGCATAGGAATCGACCCACTCTTCATCCTCATGTCCACTGTCGGCGAAACATCACTTTCTCTTTTTATGTCGACTCTGCCAGAGCCCACCACCGCTGTCGGAAAAATCGTACTCGTAGTGTGCATCGTCACACTTATCGGGTGCTTCCTCCGAGCTGCATCGCCCACCCGGCTTACAGATAATTTGGTCTCTGTCCTCGCCGCCACTGAAAACACGTACTTCACCGCTATCGAGGCCGGTGTTCTGCTGCCAGGAACTCACACCAAGAAGCTGATTAGGTGCGCCGTAGTTTCTCTGCCCTTGACCACACTAACTCCGGGGCAGTCTCCAGTTCAAGGTCTCAAAAATCCGACAAGACACCCTTTCCCATTCCCGGTCCTATCGCATTGCGCTTGGGGGATTCGTCAAGGGCCGCACCTTTACCGTGCTTGGATACATTCGGGAGGCACAACGGATTGAGACTGAGATTGAGGTGTTTACTGTTTCAAGTGTGCGGCCTCTGGCGCTAACGTATCTTTGGCACCAGATTCTGAGGGAAGCTCAGCTGCGCAAGCTGCACAGCGTCTCTCTGCGTCGTCGCAGCCCACGTCGTAGTGATTTCCGGCTACCCATGTTCTGAAATTTTATGCACTCAATTACTCCCTTGATGTTGTGTTGAGACGAGTCCTGCCTCATTCAAATATATCGATCTTCTTGTACTCCACAACGAAAAAAATGGACGGCCACCATCTCTATGTTCACTGGGCGGGTCCTAATTCTCCGATTACTTACACCGAGCAGGACACTCTACAAGGACCGCCATTGAACGCCCGGGATCTCTATTCTCGCCGCGTACATCCCGAATCCCCGACTGCACCGAGCGGTCCACCTGTAACCCTGTAAGAGCGCCGAGAACGCCGCACGCGCACAAAATCAACACCATCATTTAGTGCCGAGGCATCATGCACACGCTCAAACATCACTCGAGTACACTGTCGTAGTTTGGGACAAGTACGGGTCGTTTCCGGTGGTCCATGGTTGAATAAATAGCAAATAGCAGGCCTTCTCAGAGTGCGCCCAGCCCAGGTATAAATTTATTCAGATGTTACAGCTGTTCTCGAAATCTATTCTTTCTACACCCGTCACGATGGGCGTCATCAGTCGATCTGCGTCCGCGTCGATTTACAGCCCAATGGATTTAGAGTTTCCACCATCCTAAAATCCATCCTTGATGGTCTTCACATCAATTTGCGTCTGCGTCGATTCATAGCCCAATGGATTTAGAATTTCCCACGTCGCGAAAGGCGCCGTCCGAAGGGACGATAGACAGACGATGGGAGCTGGGAAGAAGCGCTGTGTAACGTTGACTTCAATCTGACTTGCTGTAGCTGATTCGTCACGTCGACCTCTCATATCATACTACTTGTGCCTCCAATGTCCACCATATTCTTCAGGAATGCTAACTTTGCACCAACAGCTATCAAAATAGTATAAATTAGAGCAGGCTCGCTCAGGAATACACCCAATCTCCACTTTGATGTCCATTGTCGCCGAAACATTCGTTTCTCTTTCTACGTCGACTCTGCCAGAGCCCACCACCACGGCCGAAAAAATCGTACTCGCAGTGGGCATTGTCATATTTGTCGTATGCGCTCTTCGCGCCGCGTCTCCCACCCGGCTTACATATATCTTGGTCTCTGCCCTCGCCGCCACTAAAAACACGTACTTCACCGCCATCAAGGCTGGCGTACCGCTGTCAGGAACTCACCAAGAAGCTGACCAGGTGCGCCGTAGTTTTTCTGCCCTTGACCGCTCTAACTCCAGCCCAGTCTCCAGCTCAAGATCTCAAAAATCCGACAAGACACCCTTTCCCATTTCCAGTCGTATCGCGTCGCGCTTCGGGAATTCTTCAAGGGCCGCACATTTACCGTGCTTAGATATATTCGGGAGGCACAGCAGCTTGAGAATGAGATCGAGGTGTTTATTGTTCCAGGTGTGCGGCCACTGGCGCTAACTTATGCTCGGCGCCAGATTCTAAAAGAAGCTCAGCTGCGCAAACTCTCCTTTCTTTCCGCAACGCACAGCGTCTCTCTGCGTCGTCGCAGCCCGGCCACCCATGTTCTGAAATTTTATGTATTCGATTGAAAAGCTTACCTTGATGTTGTGTTGAGACCCACCGCCGACCTCATGAATGTCTATTTATCTCCTTGACTTCCACAACGAAAATGGACGGCCGCCCTCTCTATGTTCACTGGGTGGGTCTTAATTCCCCGATTACACCGAGCGAGGCCCTTTGTAAGGACCGCGATGGAACGTCCGGGATCTCTATTCTGGCCGTGCACGTCACGAATCCCCGACTGCGCCGAGCGGTCCACAGACCTGTAAGAGCGCCGAGAGCGCCGCACGGGCCTAAAATCAACATGCCGATCCCGTGCCGAGGCATCATTCACACGCTAAGAAGTGCCGCGCGTCTGATAGGGATACGTATCTCATCCACATATGTAATACGCGTCTCGCCGTCTCGCCCTACATAGAATGGTGCCGATTACGATGATGGTCGACGTGGAATTTCAGTGGCCAGTATGAGTAGAAGTGTTCGAGTGATCGACGCCAAAAATGTATTCAACCCGAATTCGATTGTACTGTCACTGTGAATTAACGTTAAGTACTATATGGTGGATCCAAGGTTTTGACTCACAGTGACCCTCTATTTTTTAACATTCAAACCAAAATTTTCAAAACCAAGAACTTTCGCAAATTCCATAAGCAAAGTGACGCGGTGACGAGGATGTGACACGCCGCGCTAACTGCACATTCCCACCGAGGCGACCACTTGTTTCTGCCTCCCATCCATCGCCCGCGAAAGAGTGAGTATGAAGCCTGTGGCCATTTCCGGTGCGTAGTTCATTGGGTTTGTATGATACTCCTGACTTACCTTGTC